TAAACTACTCTTACAACTATCTCAGAATATATATAATTTGATCTGGAAACTATATTGTGCAAAGCTATCAAGCTAAAAGCAAGAACACAATATACCTATTTATATAAACAAAAATCAAACTAGACAGAACACAATACTCACATCTAATAATTTACGGTTAAGAATACCATATACTTACAGCTGTAATTGTGGTTTGCCTGACTAACAACACATAGACAATAACTGTTTACTCTCAGAAAAGCATTTAAAAAAGCATATATATGGTTAACTTCTTGGATAAATTATAGCACACCCACTAACAATATTATCAATTATAGAATCTAGGTGAGTTTTTAACCGCTCTAGTAGGTTTAGATTATAGATAAATTAGATAGTTAAATATCTATAGTCTGAGTTTCATTCTTGTAAAAATATTTGTAATCATTGGTTTTACTAACCAGAAAAACTCCTAGTGGATTCTTAATACAAATTATTAAATAAAGATAAAGGCAAAACCTTACCTTAAAAAAAAAATAAATAAAAATAAATCAAATAATATAATATAATATACAGTAATAAGTACTATATAGTTAAAATAATACTTGCCATCATCTTCAACATGTTAGTTATTTATAAATATAGATGGACCTTCTGTAGTATACCAGTAGATAGTATTGTATTAATACTTGGATCTATAGCAAGTTCATTTATTGCATTGGTTCTTGTATCAAAGCGAGAATCTATCTAACTATCGATGAGATGTTGTAATACTAATATTGTTTTGTACCATCAGATAAGATTCAATTCAATCACCTTATAGTTCATATACAGTATTATATTTTAAATATTTGATGCATCATTTTTTTATTCTGACAGCAGTATTCATAAGTATTGCAAAGTTTTGAGTATGCTGTAGAAAATAAACATTTATATACAAGTTTAGTAGGTTTATGAAGTTATTTGGAAATAACTAATAAAAATGAATTTGATTAGTTAAATCTGTAATAGTGTTAATAGACATTTGAACAAAGATCTGAACTCCCAAAAAAAGTATTAATGTTTAAAATTTTATTATAATAACTTGATTTAATAGATTAAAAAAATAAGGTAGGGTCAGGTATTATGATGTGGGAGGTATTTTGACATATTTGTGTTTTTTGTTAATATCTTGTAATATACTAGTTAGAATTAAACAATTTTAGTACTATTTGATTTGTTTTACTGATATGAATCGAATAATACAAAATTAATCAATTCTGATCAAGACTTGAGGGAAGGTTAGTATAGTTCTTACATTATTTTCTCTTTTTTTTTATTTGAGCAATTTTAGGGAGGGAGATCAGCAAAATCAAAAATACAAAAAGAACTAGTGTAAATAAAATTTTGCTAAATTTAGGTAATTAATATTGAGGTATGTATAATGCATCAAAATACCTCAACAAAAAAAGGTTTTAAAATTTAGAATTTTTTTAACTTGTGATAGAAATTAAGTCAAAGATTAGATTAAAAAAAATAAAATAAAATGAATAAATAAAATTTAATTGAGCATAAAATAAAGTATCCTCAATAGAAAGAAATTGTTAAATAAAATTCTGGTAGCCATGTAATTATTGATTAATAATCTACAAGTTAGATACAAAATGAGAATCATGCTTTTTTTTAAAAAAAATTAATATTTTATAAAACTACCTTTTATCTTTAACAAAAAAAGAAAGAAAAGAATTCTTGTGAAAGTATAAACTATGCTATTAATCTGGTTATTATAATTATGTGCAGCTAAATTTTTGTTATCAACTTGAAATTAATCACTTGCCTCTATCAACATTTCATGTTATTTTTGAGTGCCTCTTGCAATTCTTTGTAATAATTTTCTGTAATTGTAAGTGAAAATACAAGTTTTAGCACTTTCACTTCAACTACTCAACATCTACATAATTTAGATACAGCTAAGCTTTGTCTTGTATGCTAATTATTTAAATTTTCTTTTTTGATATGTTGAGGCTTTAAAGACCTTCAAAGTATAAATAGCATTAATATCACAAGTCTCAATACATCAGAAAATATAAAACTTTGACAATATTATAGTAAATTGGGTATTTGATACCAATTGGCTAGTTTTTCTATATTTTTCCAATATTTTAAGAAGCATTTTTACCATTTAGAGTCAACATATTAAACATTGCTTCTAAAAGGATATGTGTCTTTTCAGCTATGAAATAATATGCATCTTGTATGATTGAATATGCTAGTTTTACTTAAGCATCTTTAAAGATTCTGGTATTGCTAACTTATACTTAACTGCTAATTGTTCTTTATCTACCTTTGAACATTAACTTTCAATCTCTGCAAGCTATTTTTCTGTTTGTTGATAAAAGTATACATTTTGTATATAATTATAATTTAAATTAGTATATTGATTATTTGATATATTGCATATACAGTATCTATAATTAGCACTATGTCACTTTACATCTGCCAGGTCATTTTCTTGCAGTAGATTAGCAGTGATATATCTAACTTTACCTACAACCCATGCATCTCCAATTAAAGTTTCAATAACAAGACCATTTTTTAATCTCTTGATTTCTTGAAGTACATATTTAATAAAATTATTGAAACTAGCTTCAAATAGAACAAAACTAATTAAAAAATAGCTTTTAATTGTTTCTGAAGACCTAATAATATATTGCCAAACTGTAGGTAAACACTACCCAATGAATAGTATATATTTTTGTAAGTACCAAAATCATCTACATAAATATTGAGAAATATCTTTAGGGTAGGCAAGTGTTAAGATAATTGTGTAAGTATAAAATTTTTATAAAGTAGTCAATATCTCATTTTTATTTTATAATACTTCTATTTACTATTAAAATAATATAACAATTTCTTTAATATAAAATTTATATTCTAAAAGTTCTGGCATATCACATAACCAAATATTAATATATTATTCTATATTTGCCAGATTAACTAAATTTGTTTTTTTCAGTTAACCATAATTTCTTGCCATTACCTCGCTTATAGTGATTGTCATTAGAGTAGATATTAGAAAGGTCTTTACACAAGAAGATGTGATTAACTTTTAGCTTAAGTAAACTATTATTTGTCTTATTGACCACTATATCATATACTTGGCAAATAGATATTGATGATTGTTTATAATATATTAAAAAGTCACTGGCTCTATAGAATTCTAATAAAAAACAATTTATTCTTACTTATTGTTAAAAATTAAAAATTAAATAAATAAATAAAGAAATAAACATAATTAAAATAATTAAAAACTTAAAAATTAAAATATTAAAATAAAAATAAAATAAATAAATAAGATTTAAATTTTAAAATTAAAACAAATTAAAAATTTTTGAAATCTAATAAAAAAGTTATTTTAAAATAGACAATTTTAACACTCATTAGAGGTGAAATTCACTGGGCATATTTCTTAAAACAGCTGACAATTGGTGTTTGGTATACTAAATAAAAATGTTTAGAATTCTAAAAACTTTGTCTTCTATTTTAATTTAAGTCTTAAGCCCTAATATTTAAATTTAGTTTAAAATTTGTGATAAAATGTTTTATAGATTAACTAATAATATTTTTATGATAAATTTCATTGCTGGTAAATACTAAATAAATTCGTTAAAACCAAATTTTTTTTTAAACTTTGAAATTTAATAAAAATTTATTTAAAAAAAAGTTACAAACAAATAAAAATTAATTTTACAAAACATTATTTATCTTTGTTATTATTCTTTTGGTATTCTCTGAATAATAGTGAATCTTGCCACAATTCACCATACCAAAATTCTCATTTTTTATTTGTAACTATCTCTGGACCAAAATATATTTTTGGCATCAGGACTGGATTGTTTAAAATACGTTTTAGATATATTAACAAAGAAATAATAAATGCATTTTTTGTAGATTCACAAGTAGATAGTATTCATTTTATATAGAGAGATACATTATATTAAAGTGTTTTAACTAAAGGCAGCCTATTTTTCTATTTCTGAATCTGCTGAATATTTGCTGGAATATCTTTCTTTATATACTTGAAATGTTTAAGAATTTTTATAAGATCTTTATATGCAGAGGTTGCTATAAAAATTGGTATTAGTATATATATATTTACAAATAAGTTTAATCATAGTAATATTTAGGGTTACTTTTTTGATACAGTTAGAGTTAGTATATTATACAGATATCAAGAATACAATTTATATAGTATGTAAACTATATACTAAATTTGCTTCACTTTAGCCGATCCTATATATAGTAAATTATTTTCGTATTGATAAAAAAAAGAATCCAAGAATGTTATTTGATTTTTTAACCAGTACAATTAATATTACTTAGATAAAAATCAATACCAATATACAATTTTGAAATAGGGCCCAGATTTGTTACTAAAACCTTTAAAATTAGAAGTTATATATTCTAACACATCAATATTAGTAAAGTCAGATTCATTACTATTTTCTAGCACCTCATTTAATGAAATTTCTGTAATATTAGATTTTTTACTATCCATTAAGGCATCTATATCAAAGCCATCTAAAACTTCAACTAATAGTTTATACAAAGGTTGGTAATTGTTAGTATTCTCATAATCAATTGTTTGTCCAAGCTTATTAAAATGATTTGTATATTAGTATTTCATGAATTAAGTTATTTTTCTGGATGTTCATTTTATAGAGCATTTAGAATCTATATGCTAACCTTGTTTGATAAGATATAATCAGAAATCAATAAGCTTTTAGCTTTATTTAAAATTTCTTCAAAATACAAACCAAATCTTTTGGCATAGATATATCCTGAAGTTTATTAGATACTGAAGTTTCTTTAATTTCAGATACTAAAGCTTCTTTAATTTCTTTATATTTTTTTTTCTTTGCTTTAATCTATAATTTTGGTATTGATATATATATACAGGTTGTTCTATTTAAATGTTTCATTATGAGTAAATATTAACAATAGATGTCAAAGAGAAGAAAGCTAAATCGTTTGATTGATTTTATTTTATTTATTTATTGTGTTATATATTTTTAGTGATTTAATATACTTTTAAATAACTACTATTAACTACCACAGACTTTATTTGCATCTAGTCTATATAATGATATATAGTACTCTGAATAGAATTTAAATCCAGTTATCTTAACTCAGAATCTATCTTATGCTAATTATTAATTGACGCATTCTATTTTTCAATCGGTAGAAATTAAAAAATGAAATGCATCGATTAATAATGTATAAAACATGTTTATACATATAGAATTTGTTAGATCTGCATTACAGCTATTTCTATATATGAATTTTGAAACATTTAAAAATAACCAAAATGATAAGTTTTTGATATTAGCCAAAGTCAGTAACTTATTAATTCTAACTTGATAACTTATCGATCCGGTTACTAGAAAATATAAAAATAGCTAAAATACTAACTTTGCTAACAAAAATATTATTAGTTTTTGCAAGATTTAGATGAATTTTAGCAAGATGTTTTGACCAGTATAGTATAGTTTTTAATTTTGGTCTGTAACATACTATCCTGCTCATCTATATATACA